AGATACGACGGAGGAATTCTTGTTAGCCGCATTTCGATTGTTGTGCTTCAGGTTTTTCACTCCACATAATTCACAGTTTACTATAAATCTAATCTCTAATTGAATCCATGACGACCTGTCGTCCTTTCGCTCTATCCGTCTTCGCTAAGGTACAACTTAAACAAACCGCGGACAACTTTCAAACGAAAACAGCAAATCTGGAAAAGCGATGCTTGGAACTGACTCAGGAGTTGGCCAATCATCAGTCGCTGGTTAATGCTGCTGAGGCCAAATTAACCGAACAAGAAACGGACAGTAAACAGAAACTGGAAGATTTTCAAAGTACGTCTGATGTGTCTATCATTTTGCTACCCGTTTGTTTTTGCTATTGCTGTTTTGTTTTCCCGGATCAGAATACCGCCGCCAGACAATGGAAGCATTGGTTTCCGATTCTCCCCGTCTCTGAAAATTGAATTTGTTTTTCTTTATTTGCTTAAATCCCTGTGTCTTTGTGTGATATTGATAGCGAATACTTGCACAAACTGGCATGAGCACCATCCTTGTCAGTGTAATTGACCACTGCACAACAACTTGATCCTGACTAGTATGCCGTGTGTGTTTTGTGGACTGGAAGGAGAAACGGAACAACTGAGAAAGGAAGTTTGCCACATCAACAAAGGCCTTTTAGACTCGCACATCTGACTCAGAAGGATTTCCAGCTTAGAACTAACGGTGAAAATATGCCAAACTGTTTACGGAATTCCGCCATTCTCTTCCTATTTTGTATAATTATGTCACCGCACTGATGACCCTTTTAAAAACCATTTTATCAGGTTCCTCCGCGGTTGAACCTTGAATTTATTTCAAGCAAATTGTCTTCGCTTGCATTTTATTTTTCATATTTTCTTATCTGGAGCTAGTCGGTTTGGCCTGAATCATCTTGTATGGTATTGTCAAGCTCTTTCGTGCGTAAACCTTTCGATTTAGCGATTATTAACTATTGCTCGTCCTTCGGTCCCTGTCAAATAAAGCCCAACTGCAACTGTCGAAAAAGGAAGTGGACTCCTTATTCGAGCGGTAAGTGCTTTATTGTATCTCTGCTTATACTTCCTGGTTGTAGTAATATTCTTCTGCATTAAGTTCCATCTGCAACCAAATTTTATCAGTTGTATGAAATATGAAGTATGCTCCGTTCCGCACATTCTTGTATGTTTTTATCGGTCAACTCCAGTGGGTAGTTGAAGGTTTTTGTGTTTGCAGCAACGCCGCAACTAATGGAATCGTATATAAAATTCTCTCCCTCCCTCCCTCTCTCTCTCTCTCTCTCTCTCTCTCTCTCTATATATA